ATCAAGGTCTGTAGTGACAGGACATGGGGCAACAATTTTAAACTAAAAGAAGGTAGGTTTAGCCTGGACATGAAGAAATTTTTTACAATGAGGTTGATGAGACACTGGAACAGGCTGCCCAGAGAAGTTACGGACAACCCATTGCTGGAAGGCTGCCAGGCTGGACAAGGCTTTGAACAACTTGATCTAGTGAAAGATGTTCCTGCCCTCAGAGGCATCAGTCTACTCAGCTAACTAGGGATTTGCCTCACATCAGAGCCCATCCCTTTTCTGTACCTACAGATACCAATGCCAAAAGTCCTGCTTTGGGTTGAGGGGGCGAGGGGGGAAGGACGGGTGCTTTGGGTAGTGGAGCAAGGAGCTATAGTGATAGCCCCTGTGAGAAGCTCCCCTGGCTCCAAGGGGGACCTACCTTCAGACTAGGCTGAGCAAATTAGCATTAGGGAAATGCCTTTTCAAATCCATATTTATGAAGGGAAGAACCTGTTTGGCAAGGAAGGAGAGAGCCACCAGACCATTGACTTTAACAAAAACAGCATCAACGATATGAGGAAAAAGAGGAGGAGGGGGAGGAGACAGAGAATTTGAGACACCCAGATGAGCAAGGAGAAGAGTAAGGGGAGGTAAATGAGGTCCCTTGCAGCCAATGGAGGTCCAACAGCAGAGCAAATACTCACATGTAGGCCATGGAGGACTCCACACCAGAGCAGGAAACTGTACCTGAGGGCAGGTCTGACTACACTGAAAGCTCATCACAAGCAAGAAGACCCCAGAGATGCTCATGTCAGAGCAGGGGAAGTAGGTGCACCAGAAGCAGAGACTGAGCTGTAGCCTGTAGACATCTCCAAGTCAAGTCTGTTTTGCCCATGACCATAATTGGTAATCCCCCCCCCGTCCTCATTTCAACTCACAAGCCCTCCCTTGTGTTCTCTCCCCATCTCACCAGGTGGAGAGGGAGAGTGAAAGACCATGTGGTCTTAGTTGAGGCTGAAGCCACAAGTTCAGAGCCAATAAACCCATGGCACAGCTATCCAGAACAACTGTATTCAACACCCATGGTTGTGTCTCCCAGTACTAGCCCAGTGTTTTGGAACTGTGCTAGTTGTATAGATATTAGTGATGGCAATCCTGTTTGTTGGTGGGTCTGCTTTCATAATTGAGGGCTGCTAAGCTTGAGACATTGATCAGTTGAGACCTTGGAGAATTCCTTCTTTTCTGAATCCCAGAGAAAAGTAAGGGCTCAGAAGCAAAGCCAGGCATTCAAAGACCTCAAAAAAGGGAAAAGAAGTGGAGGTAACATCTGACTGTGCTTTGCTCCAAGAAAAACTGAAGAGTGGAACTGAATCTATGAGGAACTTTAGAATGTGCACTGCTAAAAAAAAGCTGTCATGAATGATGCCTGAAGTTAAGGAGTAGATGCTCTTTATATTCTTTTACAAGAAGGTAACTCCTAGTGGGATCTTTCTTCCCGTTTTTTCATTTGACTTACTCATTGTTCCCTTTCTTTTCCCCTTGCAAGAGTTAAAGAAACATGCAGATGAACCAGAGAATCATGTAAGTAAAGGGAAACGGACATAGCAGGGTTCTGCCTCACAATCCCAGGCAGTAAGAACAGTTTGAGCCTTTTCTCATTCTTACACTTCAGACAACAGGAGGCTCAAGGGCCCCCAAACACAAGCAGCATGACAAAAGCTAAATCAATATAATTCAGTGAAAATTAATTTATTTCTAGAAGCACAGAACAGTTTGTAAGTCACAGTGTGAGAACTCTGAACAGTCTCATTTACAGACGGTCAAATAGGCTCCCAGGTAGTGACCTCTAATTGTAAGAATGTAAGAGAACATTCTGGAGAACACCAAGACTTATGGAAGGTGGCAAGGCAGCTTGGAACAGGTCAAGCTAATAGCAAGCTGGAAAGTGAATCAAGCTTCTTGCAAGACTACAGTACTCTTCTGAAGAGCTTCCAAAAGCTCAGCAGAGGAACAAGTGCCTAGCTGACATCTACAGCCTGGTGACTGCATACTGTTGTTACAGTACTGTTGAAGTTTGCCTGCTGCTCTGGTCTAACTGAAGCAGTCTTCCATTTTCTGTCTTCATGTTCTTAGCTTCCCATAAACCTGCACTGCATCTCTTTAATTTGCCAACCTCTTTATACCTTTCTTAAAAGGTTCGTATCTCTGCTGCTACCGAGATCAGGTAAACATGCCCTCTCATTCATTTTAGGCAACATTCCTGTGACACAGAAAATTCCTGGATCTTTTAAAAGTTGCATATATAAACACAAAACATGCACTGCAAGTTTTGAAATCTTTCACCTGAAACATGGCCTATAGAATATGAAAGGGAATCCACACTTGCTTTTAAGAGTTGCTAATTCCCAATAAATACTGCTGTAATAAAATGCAATTAACCAATGGGCCTAGAAGAATTGAATAGGCTCATCCTTGAACCCAGTGAAAAGAGGATGGGTCTTGCAGAAAAACACTACTTGTTATCCTCTAACTTAAAAAAAGAGGCAAGTCTCAGTTATCACAGAAAGGTTAAGATTACCTTAAGCCTTTATCTAAAGTGGTTACCTAAATAATTCTTTAAAACCTTACTGCTTACCTCCCCTTATTGCTTTCCTCTGCACTTACCTTTCCAACACGCCTTCACCTTGTAGTTGTGGAGAGCATATCTATAACACAACTAAGTTAAAAATGAACTTGTGAACAGTAACCAGCATGGCATCTCATAAATGGATCATTGCCTTGATGAGCACTAAAATAACTAATACTGAAAGAGATTATCTTCATGTAGGTCTTCACTGAATGTACTAAACAAAACAAACAATGAATAACTTCAATTTATTTTTCTTCCTAATAAATGCTGCTCAATGTTTTGTTCATATTCTTGTGTCTTTGCAATAGCCAGGAAATGAAAATTTCTGTAGGTGGTTGTAGTTTGGCACAGTACTATTAAAAACCTAGACTTTGTTTCCAGAAAGACTTAAAATTAAGGCCAAATAATCAGATGACTATTCATAAAGTAGCCATTCTGAGCACAGAACAAGTAGCAGCATAGCTTTATGTTAAGAACTACTGTGCTTTCCTGGTAAAGTTATTTTTCCTCTTAAGGAGCATTTTGCTTTATTGACCGGAGCTATCCTTTCTTCCCAGTTATTCACCGCTGTTGTCCATAATCTGAAATTTATTTCCTGTAGAACAGAAGTCCTCCAGAGAGACCACTCATTTAAAAGACCAATATATAGTTAAATTAATACCCTTGGTTACATTTTAGTCTTCCTGGTGATGAATTAATAAAGTTTTGCAAATGACAGAAAGAAACCACCTTGTTTCCTTCTTAAAGAGAATGCCCTCTTTGTAACTACCAGAATACCAGAAACTGCAGACCTGAGGAAGTGCAAAATCCTTCTTGGCACTTCTACATTCCCAGCAACACATTTTGTTTCTTGTTCAGTGGAAAAAAAAAAAGTGCCTGTGCTACTCTGAAGACTATACAGCTTCCTCATATTTCTTCATTCCAGCTCCTAATGAACAATTCCCATTATGACTAGCCACTTTCACATACCATCAAGCCAAGCAAAACTGGGTCAAAAGGCCACATATAAACCAGGAGTATCTTCCTTAAACCAATATGGATTAAGGCCAATGGAAGACAGAACATTGTGGGGTTTTGGTTCCCCCTCATCTCCAAGTATGTGAGAAGCCATTAAGGCAGAGTACCTATGATTAATCCTTGATGAGAATTTAAAGCTTAAGGTCTCCTTATAAAGTCACTGTACAGCAAGGCAAAAAAAGTAACAAAGTAAGAGCCCTGCATGTAAGACAAACCTACGCTTGTAATGTATAGGACAGCATTATAAGCGCAGTAACCCTTGACAGTGTTAAGCTTTCTATTTTTAACAGCAGAATAGGTAAAAGAGTATCCCACTAAAATAAATACTGCAGGTGTTTATGTTTTGCTGCAGAAAATTATCAACTACTTATCAGCAACGTTTTAAAGATAAATTTTGAAAAAATACTTGGGCAACGTGTAAACCAGCATTTACCATACTTGAAGGTTTTTTTAATTAAAATTAAATACTGCACTTTTATGGTTGACATCTTTTTCATTCTGAGCTGTACCATATAAGAAGTTTGAAGAAATAAGGATACCACTCTACTGCAATGAAGAATGTGTTTCAGTCAGTTTTTCTGATACTGGTTGTGTAGTCTGCAGGAAAACCTGGCCATTAAAGGGGGCATTTGAAGTTTTACTTATAATTCATGCTTAAATAGAAGAGCCGTCTAAAAGGACTTAAGTTGCAGAATCACCCTCCATTCCCCCAGATGAAAACCAGTATTGCTCACTTTTCTCACCTTTAAGAGAGCTGCTTCATGTATAACTTCAGATCAAGTAAGTGTTTTGAAGGTTAGTGGAAGCTGTACACCACAAACCACCTTGCCTCATTCTCAAACATGAAGACCATTCACTGTCTTCATGGCATCTTCATAAGTGACCGACGCAAAAGGTACTACAACGATTATCGTTTGATACGATTTGGCACAGACGGAAAAACAGGTGGAAAGCCAACCTGATGTGAACAGTCCCATCGCTGGTTCAGTGGGCTGACAGTGTATTGCTGCCAGGTACAGGCAGTGACTTTGGAAAGGGGACCTCACTTCATTAAAGGTGAAAAAGGACAAAATATAAAATGAACTTTCCATTACTGAAGTGGTATTATTGACAGGAATAGTTGTGTACCTGTGGCAACAGAACATCTGTGTACCTGAGGCAACAGAAGGAAAAAACCCATTGAGATGTAGTTATTTTACATTCACAATAGGTAGCTCAACAACATTCGCCTACCTTCTGATCAAATTAACAGAAGACAACAGTTTGTTTTATTTTGGTTTTTGTTTCTTTCTTTTAAAAAGGTCAGCTTGTATTGAAAATCTCTGTAAAAACACCTGTAATACTACAGGGTAGTACCAATACAAAACAGATGAACATTAACTTTCTTTAAACTGTTAAACTTTATTATAAATTAAAATTTCTTTACAAAAAATTGCACATAATTGACCACTCTTAGGTTCTGATGCACTGGCATTTGCAATAGTTTCTTTAATCTTCAAGTTTAATAGTCTGTGCCGTGAGTCCAATGCAGACAAGGGCAGTAAGCAACCCTCTTAGAGCCTTCAAGTGCAAGAAGCATACTTGTGGCCACGGCAGTTACACTTTCCTTAAGAGCGGCTGCTTTTGTTTTAAATCCTGTAATGAAAAAGTCTCAAAAAGGTTTAAAAAAGGAAAAACCCAAAATGGACTACTTGTTTTTTTTACTGTAAACACAGCCCAGTAAATTAATCCCAAACACAGATCTCTCAGGCATCAGCGAGAGTGTCAAGTGAATCAGGAACAGCAAAACAAACAAAAAAAAAAAACCAAACCAGAAAATAAAAAGAAAACATAAAAAAATAATGTCTGTCATTTTGATTAACTATACTTACGTAGATGATGTTATGAGAATCTGGCAGGGCCCAGAAGCAAGGCCAGACAGGGAGTTCATTTTTCCAGAGGCAGGTCATGTTAATTGTTTCCAGGTTCAAGGAAAGCAGATTGGAGACTCGATATGCTCAGCAATACTCATCTGCCTTACACAGACCTTAGGCATGGATCAGCCTGAAGAATCATTCAACTGATTTTGGCATTTAATAGACTTATGGCTGACCATACTCAGCGTTCAGTGGTTCTTGCTTTCTGTTCTGTAAGTGTTTAAATTTAAAAGCTCATCTAGGCTGACTCCAACCTCTTGGCACTTGGAAACTAGTTTTCTCAGGTTATCAGTTTTACCTCCTCCTGATGCTTCAAACAAGAGTTGCTGTAAGAGATGGGGAAGCAGATATAAGATTTAGCCAGAGCATGAGCATCACCACATCTATGGATATGGGATATGCAGAAAATTTATATGAAACCTCAAACTGAATCATAAGGAGAAAACATTACATCTTTCCACAGTGTTGCACATAGAGGTAACTTCTGAAGGGCTCTCTGATATAAGTGATGGACCTGTAAAATAAAAACAAGTAGTAAAAGTCAGCACAACTTCGTGCACTCAAAATTAGTGATTTGCAGCACAAAGTCTCTTGCAATAATTTTTAAAAACTGTTTTTAAAAAAGTTTCAAAGTCAAGCATTAAATTGCTACTAAAATCAAAGGCAAGTTTATGTCTGACCTTAATTCTGACCCTTGTATGCACATGATTAATTACATGAGGACATTCTGTTTTTCTTCCCAATATTCTTGCCTCATTCATTGCACAGGATGGAACATGCTCAGAGAATGAAGCAGCTTTCTGAATATGTATCTTTCACCACTCAATACGTAGTCTCAAGGTCTTGCTTATCGCATACCATCCCAACTCTGCAATGAAAATAACTGCTTCACAGGCTTTTTTTCCTCAGCATCTATCTATCTGTGCTTTAACAATCAGTACGCATCTTTACAACTCTCTAAAAATAAAAAATGGTTTTACCATTTCATGGCTGGAAACAAGACGACCAAAATGCTTAATGCAAGTTATTTACTCAAGTCTCCTTCAGCTATTGGTATCTGAAGTACCACTTTGATCAGAGAGTCATTAGGGGAGGTATTTGTTGGCATTCTAAATACTAATACCCATTTTTATATTCCTTTAGCAAACCTTCACACAACCTCTGAAGGGAATAAATGACAGGTTCTCCAGGCACAGAAAACCCAGAATCTGAATCACAATTCAATTTTAAAACATATCCTACTTGTTTACTAGAAAATCCAGTTATCTGGAATAGTCACTGGTTCACATAAACAATTCTAAATGCTCACTACATCTCAAACTAAGCCACTCCCCCTGAAAGAAAAAAAATACAACTGCACTGTGTGTATCTACTTAAGTCACTTTACTCTACACCATATAGTCAGGTGGTTGCAGAAGTTCACAAGATTTCTTCTGGGTGTAATCCAGCTACAAAGTTTTACATACACCTTCATCTTAATTGATTAATTTTCTTTAAGGACCCTCTTTTTGAGTAATTTGGAATATATTTTTCTAGCTTTCTAACCATACAAAGTAGGGGTCTTTTAAGTCATCAGCCTCACCATACGCAGTGCCTTAAAATGTAGTCCATCTAACACAGTGACTGGGGCAGGGATCTGTGACTAATCACAGATTACACCAAACCATCAACATGGAGACAGAATTAAGGCTGAATAGGCAACTATGCCTTTGATAACTCCTGACTTGGAACTATTTGATCTTACAAACCAAACAACTGTCTGCTTGGGGGGGGTAGGGGGAGGGGAGGGTAAGGGGAT